TATATGTATAACAAAATTTTTCCTTTTCTTTCGCAACAAAACCCCCATTACTTTCCCCGCTGCAAAAGAGAGAAGATAGACACCGCGGGAGAAAACACAACCCAAGGGAGTTAAATAACTCAAAGGCAAATATAATTCCATCACACCTTTTCGAATCACCGACTGGAGAAAAAAAATGGATGACGTTAACGCTACCAAGGAAGAAACATTCTTATTTCCTTGAGCTACAGGGGCGACTTTCCAATGCTGAAGCCTGGACCAGTTTTAAACACCCTTCCACCTTCTCTTACCCAAGCTAAATTGATTATATTTGGCAGTGGAAATGTGGTTTTCTCTTATACTTTGCGCAGCCTTCCGGTCCCTGGCTCAGCGCAAGTGGAAAGGAATGTGGCAAATTGCTCAAAATAGGGAGGTACATATGTATGCATATGTTTATATATATATATATATATATATATATATATATATATATATATATATATATATATATATATATATATATATATATATATATATATATATATATATATATATATATATATATATATATATATATATATATATATATATATATATGTATATATATGTATATATATATATATATATATATATATATATATATATATATATATATATATATATATATATATATATATATATATACATACATACATATATATTTACATAACATATATATATATATATATACATATATATATATATATATATATATATATATATATATATATATATATATATATATATATATATATATATATATATATATATACATATACATATATATATATATATATATATATATATATATATATATATATATATATATATATATATATATATATATATATATATATATATATATATATATATATATATATATATATATATATATATATATATATATATATATATATATATATATATAGTATATATATATATATGTATGTTTGAGTATATCTGCGTGTATGTGTGTATGTGTGTATTTGTGTGTGGATGTATGTATGTGTATACATATATCTGTAATGTGTATATATATATATATATATATATATATATATATATATATATATATATATATATATATATACATATATATATATATATATATATATATATATATATATATATATATATATATATATACATACATATATACATATATACATACATACACACACACACACACACACACACACACACACACACACACACACACACACACACACACACACACACACACACACACATATATATATATATATATATATGTGTGTGTGTGTGTGTGTGTGGTGTGTGTGTGTGTGTGTGTGTGTGTGTTGTGTGTGTGTGTGTGTGTGTGTGTGTGCGTTTGTGTGTATACATACATACATACATACATACATATCTATCTATCTATCTATTTATGTATATACATGTATATATATATATATATATATATATATATATATATATATATATATATATATATATATATATATATATATATATATATATATATGTATAGTGTGTGTGTGTGTCGGGTGAGCATGTGAGTGTGTGTGTCTGTCTGTGTAGGACAACAGCTAATATCGCATTTCATATCGGACATCCCCCCCAGATAATACAATACTGTAAAAAAAATTAATCCATTTTTTTTTATCCAATAACAAAATTACCTCCAAGGCACAGATTCAATTATTTCTCTAATACACCAACACATCTGTACACAGGCGTATGTATTATAACTAGCATACAGGTGTTTGTATTAATGCAAGTTTACTCTAACTCGGATTACAAAGCAGATCTCATCACAGTGAAGTGGTCTCCTCCTCCATTCCCTGAACATTGACAATCTGACATCAAAGTCACAACAGTAATGGATCCCAACACTTCACCGCTTGGCCTGGGCTTCGGCTCCGGCTGTCCCGTTTTGATTAGCACAGGTAGAAGGCCTTTTGGATTTGCGGCATTCTGTCAAGCTTAAGTGAAAGTTGGGGGATCAGGTTGCGGGTTTTTTTCTTTTCATCTAATCGCATACTTTATATTATAGTTTACAGATTTATGTTGGATGGATGCCATAACAGTAACAAACACGGGAGTCGACAAAGGATGTGGATGGTTCTAGTTGTAGCTTCATAAACATCATTACTAAACCAAAGTCACACCGACACAATTGAGTGAAAGGAATATCATTTGATAACACGTCTCATTTTCCTCTTTTCAACCGTACAAACATATATGTAAGTTTAGATCGTTGGAAATAAATCGTATCAAAGTGAAACACTTCAATATATAGATAAAGCGATAAAGAAAGGGATGTAACAAAGAGAGAGAGAGAGGGAGTAATCAAAATAGAAATGTAGATACACGGATGAGTAAGTTGACATACATACAGACAGACATACAGATAAATAGATAGATGGAAGGGTGTATAGATAGACAAACAAACAGACAGATAGATAGATACAGTTAAGTATAAAAAATATAGAAGGGAAGATAGCAGGCAGTCAAATACAGACAAACTAATAGATAGACAGAAAGAGAGACAAATAGACAGACAGACAGACAAATATACAAAGGTTATTCAGAGTCTTTTCGAGTGTAGGCATCATTAAGCTCTTAAGAGGGAAGGGAATAATGCAGATGAAAATCGCGAATTTCTTGCAGCAAATCCTAGAATTCCGCCATCGACCCCTTTTCAAGAGCAGATGGAAGATATCGTAAAGCGCGGGGGATGAGACGTAAAGACTCGTATTGGGGTAGTAAATCCAAGCCCCGCCTCAGAGCCTTCCCGGTCACGGAGTAAGTAAAAGAATGCCACTCGAGTGAAGCTAGAGAGAGAGAGAGAGAGAAAGAGTGAGAGTGGGTGAGAGAGAGAGAGAGAGAGAGAGAGAGAGAGAGAGAGAGAGAGAGAGAGAGAGAGAGAGAGAGAGAGAGAGAGAGAGAGAGAGAGAGAGAGAGAGAGCGAGAGAGATAGTGAGTAAGAGATACTTTTTTTCTCCTTTTCGAAGTTTTTGCTTCAGCTCCGTCACTTCTTCGACGTCATTGGGAGCTTCTTTTTTTCCGTTTTCACTTCCTTTTTTTTTCTTTTCTGTCCATTTTACCTTTGCTTCTGTGTCGTCGTTTTCCCATTTGATAACGGAGGCCTGCATTTCATAATGTGATATCGTCGCTTCTTCCATGGTGATTGTGAGTTCATAAATTCGGAAGTTATAAGGCAGTGACAATATCTTAGTGTTAGCTGCAGTTATTGTTGATTATACTGCGTCATGGTGCATTATCTGCATAACTTATGCCTTAATTTCCATATCAAGGAGTAATGATGTGATTGTCTGGATTAATGAAAATGTCCTCTCTGTATTTATTATGCTAATTGTCATACACAGCTGGTTCCAATTATCAGAATCAATAGAAACACCATCATGATGATTATTATAATACAATAATATACACTCGTGCAATGTTTATATTATCTTTACATCACTGTTGCATACCATCGACCATAATACGTACAATTTATTCCTTTTTTAGTTTAGTCCTTTATCGCCACATCGCATGACATCCCGAAATGTTGCATTCAAGTGTCATTATCAGATAATCCAAACTGTTCGTGTCGCCAGTTTCTCAAAGGAATCCGAGGCAGTATTACATCAGAATCCCCAACGCACTGTCTAATTCTAGGTTTGCTTTGACCATGGGGATATCTCATACTTGTATTAGGTAAAGGATTGATGAGTCTATCAGATCAATCAGATTATAGTCACAACAGGAGTAAAAATAGAATGGGTTTTATTTTTCGCGCGTGTTGAAAAGTCTTTGTCTGGAACGATGATGAGAAAGGGTGTGAGATGAAAGGACGTGACGGGAGGGGATGTGAGGGGAAAGGATGGAAGGGGAAAGGATGTTAAGGAGAAGAGAAAAGGTGTAAGGAGAAAGGGTATGAGTTTAAAGAGGGAGCATAAGAGGTGTAAGGGAAGGAATGTGAGGCGAGAGGGTGTGGGGTGATAGGGTGTGAGGGGAAAGGAAGTAATGGGTGGTGTGTGAAGAAAAGGAGTGTGGAGGGAAAGGGTGCGAGGGGAAAGGGCGTGAGGGGCAAGAGTATGAGGCGAAAGGGTGTGAGGATGTAAGGAGAAAGGGTTTGAAAGGAAAGAGTGTGAATGGAGAGGGCGTGAGGAGAAAGGGGTGAATATTGTCCCCAGTCTCACGTGACATGGACTCCTCTCAAGCTGGTTTTTCCTCCTGGTATTCCTCCCTCCTTGACTTCACGGAATTATCCCAATGCACACACTACACGTTTCGGCTCCGTAGTTAGAGAAGGAGCACGGTTGTTCAGTAAGATGAACTATCCGTGATATGACGATGAGTTATATCCGCTATAATTGTAATGCATAACCATGATTGAGCTCCATAACTTGATGACCTGTACATCATACCACGATTGCGACATTGGCTAGGGGAAGGATCCTCTCCTCTGACACGATGGTAAGGGGGTAGTTGTAAACATCGTTTCTCATTGCATTGAATCCTGTAAACTTACGAGAATGTTACTTCATTAAGTAACGCAAAGAAAAGAAGAAGAAATCTCGCTTAACACTCCTGTTGCATATTTTCTAGTTTTCTTGAGCCACCTTTATTTTTAATTTGTTTTAGTGTTTTCTTTTGTTCGTTATTTATGTTTTATTTACTTCTTTCGCCGAGAAGAGAAAGGAGCGACGAGCTGCCGCCCACAACGTCCTCAATTTATCTGGCGGCGAGCTCCCTCAGGGAATGCAAATCGAACATATTAATTTCCTGGCGCATGGTATCAGAGAGTTTTCTTTTTGCTTTTCCTTTTTGCGGGTGTTACTGTCTTCCACTCCTCGCATTGGACATTTTTTGTGAATGAAAGAATTGTCAATTTCTTTGTGAGTTCTTGACACATACTCTCAAACACACACACACACACACACACACACACACACACACACACACACACACACACACACACACACACACACACACACACACACACACACACACAATGCACACATAAACGCACACACACACACACACACACATATACCCACACACTTACATTACATTTAAACACATACATTTAAACACACACACACGCACACAACTCCTTCACACACACACACGCACATAAAGCACACTTTGATCATATGAAGGGTTGAAGTCTCAACATTTCGCTTCATGGTTTACTGTGAAAACATGAGGGTGACGATAATTTCCACTTCCCCCCCGAAAAAGCTATTTAATTATCGCTTTCCTCACTTTACCATATCACCTAATTATTCAGGAAGCAATCACTAAGGTAATGATAGAAAATAGAAAATCCAGGATGATATACACGAATATCTTCTAACATATCAAGAGACACGAAGCGACCAGTTTCTAATACCTCTAATTGATTTAAAAGGATGACTAAAGTGCTTAGTTGCAAGTTTTGTTCATGTATAAAGGAATGAGATGCCAACACTATCGGTCTTTGCTAGTGTATCCTAGCCTTTTTCTTGCAATTTTTCCACCATATGGATAGAGAAAAAGGAAACTATAATACAAAATTGCTTCCAGAATCCTTTTAGTAAGATATCCTGACCTACTTTTGCGCGGGGTTTCAAATGTAATAAGCTTTGAATCACTTTGAATCAATCTTCACATCTGTTTCTTTTGTAATAACAATTATTCTAAAACTTGACTTAGTCTTCAAAGAACTTTGGACCCAGTGGTAAATTTACCCTCGGTTCGGAAATGCTGAGCTATAACATAAAATTGGTAAATCCTCACCGTCCGGAAGCAGAGATAGTGAAATGTGGCAGTTCGGGACCGTAGAGTTTTACATATATGTGGGGACCGGCATTGATGCTCAGCAATAATATTGACATCATTTTGGATTATGTGTGACGTGGTCATCTTCACATATCCTGTTAGATAGTGATGATATTCTAATAAGGATGATGATCTCCTCTTTTACAAAACACAATAAAAAGGATAACTGAAAATTTTTGATAACGCCAACAATGTCGATGACGATGATTCGGATGATAACGATAATGCGAATAATGTTAGTTATAGGGGTGATGAGGAAGATAATGATAAGAATGATAGGGATAATGATGGCAATATTAATAAATATAAAAAAGAGAAAAAATAACAGCAATACTAAATCATTATCATTCTAATAAACAAAATCATAACTGTGATCGCCAACTTCGTCTGCAACAGATTCATCCCCGGTGATTTAAATGATTCTCTAATTAAGATAGGTCATTAGTGTGAAAAAGATCCGTGGAATCTTGTTATTACTTCAGCGATTCTCTAGAGTAACCGGATATCGTTTAGGGGGGGGGGGAGGTAAAAGGGGAAGGGAAACTGGAGGAGGGGGGGAAATAGAAGAAAGGACAGGGAAAAGGAAAAGGGAAAGAAAGAAGGAAGAGGAAAAGGGGAGGGGAAAAAAGGAATGAAGAGAAGGAAAAAGGGCAGGATTAAGGAAAATGGAAAGGAGGAAGAGGAGGAAGAGGAAGAAGAAAAAGAAAAAGAAGAAGGGAGATCGAGGAAGAGGAAGAGGGAGGAAAAGAAGAACAAGAAGAGGAGGAAGAGGGAGGAAAAGAAGAACAAGAAGAGGAGGAAGAGGAGAAGGATGAGGAGGAGGAGAAGCAAGGAAGAATGAAAGGAGGGGGAAGAAGAGGAAGATGAAGAGGATGAGGATGAGGAGAAGGA